ACGGTTGGTAGTTATACATACTGTGAATAGTTCTGTGTATTTTTTGTAGTTCTGTATACTGTTGATAGGTCTGTTTACTGTTGATTGTTCTGTATACCGTTGACATTTTTGTATACTGTTGATAGTTCTGTATACTGTTGATAGTTCTGTATACTGCTGATAGTTCTGTATATTGTTGGTAGTTATACATACTGTTGATAGTTTGTGTATTTTTTGTAGTACTGTATACTGTTGATAATTCTGTATACTGTTGATAGTTCTCTATACTGTTGATTATTCTGTATACTGTTGATAGTTCTGTACACTGTTGACAGTTCTGTACACTGTTGATAGTTCTGTATACTGTTGATAGTTCTGTACATTGTGGATAGTTCTGTATACTGTGGAGAGTTCTGTGTACTGTTGATAGTTCTGTACACTGTTGATAGTTCTGTATACTGTTGATAGTTCTGTATACTGCTGATAGTTCTGTATATTGTTGGTAGTTATACATACTGTTGATAGTTTGTGTACTGTTGGTAGTTATACATACTGTGAATAGTTCTGTGTACTTTTGGTAGTTCTGTATACTGTTGATAGTTCTGTATACTGTTGATAGTTCTGTTTACTGTTGATAGTTCTGTATACTGTTGATAGTTCTGTGTACTGTTGGTAGTTCTGTATACTGTTGATAGTTCTGTATACTGTTGATTATTTTGTATACTGTTGATATTTCTGTATACTGTTGATTATTCTGTATACTGTTGATAGTTCTGTATACTGTTGATAGTTCTGTATACTGTTGATAGTTCTGTATAATGTTGGTAGTTCTGTATACTGTTGATAGCTCTGTATATTGTTGGTAGTTATGTATACTGTTGAGAGTTCTGTATAATGTTTGTAGTTCTGTATACTGTTGATAGTTCTGTATATTGTTGGTAGTTATACATACTGTTGATAGTTCTGTATACAGTTGATAGTTCTGTGTACTGTTGGTAGTTCTGTATACAGTTGATAGTTTTGTACACTATTGCTAGTTCTGTATACTGTTGATAGTTGTGAGTACTGTTGGAAGTTCTGTATACAGTTGATAGTTCTGTACACTATTGCTAGTTCTGTATACTGTTGATAGTTCTGTACACTGTTGGTAGTTCTGTACACTGTTGATATTTCTGTATACTGTTGATAGTTCTGTATACTGTTGATAGTTCTGTACAATGTTGAGAGTTCTGTATACTGTTGGTAATTCTGTATACAGTTGATAGTTCTGTATACTGTTGATAGTTCTGTATACTGTTGATAGTTCTGTTCGCTGTTGATAGTTCTGTATACTTTTGATAGTTCTGTATACTGTTGATAGTTCTGTACACTGTTGATAGTTCTGTGTACTGTGGATAGTTCTGTATACTGTGAATAGTTCTGTGTACTTTTGGTAGTTCTGTATACTTTTGGTAGTTCTGTATACTGTTGGTAGTTCTGTACACTGTTGATAGTTCTGTATAATGTTGGTAGTTCTGTATACTGTTGATAGTTCTGTATATTGTTGGTAGTTCTTTATACTGTTGATAGTTCTGTATAATGTTGGTAGTTCTGTATACTGTTGATAGTTCTGTATATTGTTGGTAGTTATACATACTGTTGATAGTTCTGTATACTGTGGATAGTTCTGTGTACTGTTGGTAATTCCGTATACAGTTGATAGTTCTGTACGCTATTGATAGTTCTGTATACTGTTGATAGTTCTGTACACTGTTGATAGTTCTGTATACTGTTGATACTTATGTATACTGTTGATAATTCTGTATACTGTTGGTAGGTCTGTGTACTGTTGATAGGTCTGCATACTGTTGCTAGTTCTGTATAATGTTTGTAGTTCTGTATACTGTGGATAGTTTTGTATACTGTTGATAATTCTGTATACTGTTGCTAGTTCTGTATACTGTGAATAGTTCTGTGTACTGTTGGTAATTCCGTATACAGTTGATAGTTCTGTACTCTATTGATAGTTCTGTAAACTGTTGAGAGTTCTGTATACTGTGGATAGTTTTGTATACTATTTATAGTTCTAGATACTGTTGATAGTTCAATATACTGTTGATTGATAGTTCTGTATCCTGTGGATAGTTCTGTATACTGTGAATAGTTCTGTGTACTGTTGGTAATTCCGAATACAGTTGATAGTTCTGTACACTATTGGTAGTTCTGTATATTGTTTATAGTTCTGTATACTGTGAATAGTTCTGTGTACTGTTGGTAATTCCGTATCCAGTTGATAGTTCTGTACAATATTGATAGTTCTGTAAACTGTTGAGAGTTCTGTATACTGTGAATAGTTCTGTGTACTGTGGATAGCTGTATACTGTTGATACTTATGTATACTGTTGATATTTCTGTATAATGTTGGTAGTGCTGTATACTGTTGGTAGTGCTGTATACTGTCGGTAGTTCTGTATACAGTTGGTAGTTCTGTATACTGTTGATAGTTCTGTATACTGTTCATAGTTTTGTATACTATTTATAGTTCTATATACTGTTGATAGTTCAATATACTGTTGATAGATCTGTATACTGTTGATAGTTCTGTACACTGTTGAAAGTTCTGTACACTGTTGATAGTTCTGTACACTGTTGATAGTTATGTATACTGTGGATAGTTCTGTATACTGTTGATAGTTTTGTATACTGTTGGTAGTTCTGTATACTGTTGATAGTTCTGTATACTGTTGATAGTTTTGTACACTGTTGATAGTTCTGTACACTGTTGAAAGTTCTGTACACTGTTGATAGTTATATACACTGTTGATAGTTCTGTATGCTGTTGGTAGTTCTGTACACTGTTGATAGTTATATACACTGTTGATAGTTCTGTATGCTGTTGGTAGTTCTGTACACTGTTGATAGTTCTGTATACTGTGGATAGTTCTGTTCTCTATACTGTTGATAGTTCTGTACAATGTTGGTAGTTCTGAATACTGTTGGTATTTCTGTATACTGTTGATAGTTCTGTATACTGTTGATAGTTCTGTACACTGTTGATAGTTCTGTATACTGTTGATACTTCTGTACACTGTTGATAGTTCTGTATACTGTGGATAGTTCTGTATACTGTTGATAGTTCTGTATACTGTTGATAGTTCTGTATATTGTTGATAGTTCTGTATACTATTTATAGTTCTGTATACTGTTGATAGTTCTGTATACTGTTGATAGTTCTGTATACTGTTGATACTTATGTATACTGTTGATAGTTCTGTATACTGTTGATAGTTCTGTATACTGTTGTTAGTTCTGTATACTGTTGATAGTTCTGTATACTGTTGATAGTAAACAGTAAATAGCAGTAGTAAACTATTGCTGTTTACTGTTGGTAGTGTTGTGTCAGGTTTGTTATTTTGCGAGTCCATTTTCTACTTTCAGAAACCTCTTTTTCTGATATGTTTATTATTTCTATAGGCCGTCTCCATGGGACCTGAAGTTTGTACTATAGTTTGTATGGTTTATTCAGACCCGGGAATGCATGTTTGATCTCACTAAAACACCACAACTCCTTACGATTTATTAATGTACAGACGACGATGTCAGGATTTTAATTTTGGTATCCATGTTAATCAAATAAATGGCATAGCTTTAAACAACGTGGTCACCGCTCAGACGATACATATGTCTTTTGCGTGCCGAAGTGTTACGGGACAACAACAATAGAAGTTAGTGATAAATACGGTCTGTACCGTTCACTGGACTCTAGAGCAAAATATGCTGAATAACGTATTTTTTAAATCATCCAATCAAGGATCAGATCAGCAAGTTACGCATGCCCTGTAAGGTAGAACTGCCACTAAGTGGTTGCCAATAAGGGGTACCGGGGTTCGGTATCTCATCATATAGGGCCGTTCTTATTTTAGGATGCGTGTGTCAGATGCATGTATAGTCAAAAGTATATACAATGTACGCCACACCGTAGGGTTAACTCAGAGACAGAATCGCGTGTTAGCTGTTCAATTTGATTGATGCTCTCCTAAAGGATCAGACGTACATGGGTATTATATACTTATAAACATACATGTAGATGCATACCTGTTAGTCCCCTGCCACCTGACGATATGCTGGTTTTTTTAGAATAGGAGACAAGATAATACTTTCCCTCAGGTATATTCCGCACAGCTCCTAGCTATAAACATATACATAAAAAGGTTTCCTTTGCGTGTCTAAGGACAACGTGCCCGGGAGATACAGTGACCCCGTCCGGCCGTCGTAGAGGGCCTGTGGTCCGGTAGGAGCGAGCACATGTCGCCTGTCCAATCGATTCCTTAACACCATACATCACAGCCTCAGTAGCAGCAGCAGTAGATGGTCGTACAGTGGCGGGAAAGGAGGGGTTAGAGGCTAGTCGCAGGACAGGTAGTTAAGTATCAGGAAACTAATGGGAAGTCGCTTCAGCCGACTTACCGGTCCCGGACAGTTTTTATAGTCAGTTTGATTGTCAGGAAGATTCCCAAGGGAAACATTTCCATTATCACACGTGTTCATAAGGACATGATTGTAAAATAACTGATTTTCTTGGAATATGCAAATGCTTAGTTTGATTCCAATATATTTGAACAAACAATACAATGAAGTGCCGAGAGAGTTGTGAAACGCTATCGCTGGAATCGGCTTTTCTAAGGAGCTAGGCGACGAAACGTAAACAGTGTGTGCCGCAAATTGTCGAATTCCCTCTCATTCTCAGATCAAAGTAAACAGTGCTTTTTTCAACAAACGTTGAATTGATTAAGTAGAACTAATGCACCCAACAGTCGCTTTTTTTGTTTATTTCGTAATTATTCCTTAGGAGGTGGATTTTTATGTTTTATAAGTCTTATAGAAAGTTTTGGATGTTTGCCGTAAATATGTAACAAATCAATGTCATTGAGCGACGCGGAGTTTAGCTTTACCGCTCGGAGAATTAGTTTGAGATAGTATGGAAGAAGCCGGTTGGGTCTGGGTTACGTAGTTTTGTGTATCGCCGTGGTGTGAGGGGAACCATGGACTGGACAACGTCTAACCACGTGGTGGTCTACAACAGCCCTGTCGTAAACGTCACGTACAACATGGCGGACAACGTGACGTTTTGGCTTGATATCCTAGAGACGTTCCGACAGAGTGAGTTACTCACCGTTCGGGACACTTCTACAATCGTCCTCCTTTGTCTTTATATTCCTGTCTTCCTTACTGCGGTCATAGGAAACATCGCCGTCCTCCTTGTTATCATTCCTAACAGGCGCATGTGGAGCGTTACAAACAACTTCCTGTTGAACCTGGCCATCGCCGACCTTCTGGGTGAGTGTCTACTACATTTATATTTACTGGATGAGTGTCTACTACATTTATATTTACTGGGCGAGTGTCCACTACATTTATATTTACTGGGTGAGTGTCTACTACACCTATATTTACTGGGTGAGTGTCTATTACATTTATATGTACTGGGTGAGTGTACTACATTTATATTTACTGGGTGAGTGTCTACTACATTTATATTTACTGTCAGACTGATTCAGTGACCTTCAGATTTACTGTCATTACGATCCAATGACCTTGATATTTACTGTCAGACCGATCCAATTACCTTGATACTTACTGTCAGACCGATCAAATGACAATGATATTTACTGTCAGACTGGTTCAGTGACCTTGAGATTTACTGTCATTACGATCCAATGACCTTGATATTTACCGTCAGACCGATCCAATTACCTTGATACTTACTGTTAGACCGATCCAGTGACCTTGATATTTACTGTCAGATTGATCTAGTAACCTTGATATTTACTGTCATACCGATCAAATAACATTGGTATTTACTGTCAGACTGATCCAGTGACCTTGATATTTACTGTCAGACTGATCCAGTGACCTTGAGATTTACTTTCAGACCGATCCAGTGACCTTGATAATACTGTCAGGCCGACCGAGTGATCTATTTAGATACTGGTGGCTGATCATGGTCCAGTGGTTAGGTATCTTGCCCTTCAAATTGACGGCTAGGTTGGGATAAGCATGAGAGTTTCCGTTGCAATAGTGTTTCTTGATTATCACTAAGCTCCTCGAAACCTATTACCTGCATGTTTCTGTTGTCCCCAGGGGTAGGCAATTGTAGCCCGTGATCAGAGTACATGTGTGGTCCTCTGGGGTAAAATGTTGTAGCCCGTTATCAGAATACATGTATGGTCCCCTGGGATAGGACCTTGTAGCCCGTTATCAGAATACATGTGTGGTCCCCAGGGGTAAAATATTGTAGCCCGTTATCAGAATACATGTGTGGTTCCCCGGGATAGGATCTTGTAGCCCGTTATCAGAATACATGTGTGGTCCCCCGGGATAGGACCTTGTAGCCCGTTATCAGAATACAGGTGTGGTCCCCTGGGATAGGACCTTGTAGCCCGTTATCAGAATACATGTGTGGTCCTCTGGGAGTAAGACATTATAGTCCTTTATGAGAATACAATTGAGGTCCCATTGAGTAGGACTCTTTGGAACTAGTTACCAGAATACATGTGTTGTCTCTCGGGATAGGACTTTGAAGCCAATTATCAGAATACATATGTGGTTCCCCATGGTAATACAATTGTTTCTTACATTTCTTTGTTACATCATTGTAGATATTAGATAACATAGATTGTCATCCATTCTCATTGGGTGGATCAGGTCGATGATCTGTGACAATAACGCCTGTTACTTTTTTTTAAGGTACGGTATGTTAATATTTTAATAGAACGCCACTCCAATTGTGACGTCACAATGCTTCCCTCCTTTCTTACATTTCATCATGTTTAATAATGAAAATACAATAAATTATTTTAGTTTCGGTAAATATCTGGTTCATGAATAGGAAAAGGGATATTGAACTCGACTTCGTATCGCTCAATATCTCTTTCGCAGGTTCATATCTATCAGTTGTAAACTTTTGCTCAAGTGCGTAAGCGTTAGCTGTTGTTTTACCTTGTAATTCTATGCGCACCTCAACAAAAGTTTATCATTGAAAACTGTAGGTGTTATTGCAATATTATTGTGTTTCCCCGTAATTCGAATGAAGACTTCAAAAAAAGTATATCATTGGAAATTGTAGGAGACGTATCTAATGCAATGTTGTCCGGTATATTCGAATGTTCGCAAGTAACACTAGCTTTCGTCTGAGAATGAATCCTTAAAAAGACCGGGTACAACATCGTGTCCTATGAAAAAATGTTAACGCGAGTCAGATAGAGAAAGATGAATTTCAACCCGAGGGTAAGCATTTGAAGTTTGGCACTAGGGTTTGCCGAGAGCTTAACTTAAAAACCCTTATCCCGAGGGTGGAGATTTCTGTTTGCATTACACAGGAGTAATTTACTATTTTCTTTATCTCTCACACATAAAATCACTTATCCCGAGGGTGGAGATTTGTGTCTGCATTACGCAGGAGTATTTTCTTTTTCTATCTCTCACATTTTTCTAATGTAAAACTATGTCGTCCATCATCAATATACAGGGGTTACGCTCACTTTCACTCTCTGCACCCCTGGAATATGTCATAGCAAAATTGAAGGCTCGGTGCGGCCACCTTGTTGATGAGACAAGAAGACTTAATGATGAACAGTATTATCGCGCCATTATCAAGAAAGCATGAAATCTGTGATAGAATCGACGGCGCTACCATGATCACACCGTATGACGTGATAGCGCGATGTTCATTATAGTTAGAGGGAGATAATCAACCATCCTTTGTTGGCTCCCTATGTTACAGTATTATTACATGCATGTATGTCATTAGTCTCGGTCAACCAGACGTTTGATCACCTTGTGCATTGCTTGCGTATACAACAAGAGTCTGGTTGACCGAGACTAGTTTGTCATCGATGTGGTCATCACCACCTCTTGTATTGGAGTTATACAATTTCAGGATCCCTCGATTCACGCTCAGTCACCAGTATAAGTGTTATTCAGATAAAATGCATACACAAACAAAACAGCTGATATATACAATATCTAGGCAATGTGGAAACTAAGATGGCCCCATCCTTGAGGAAAACAGCACAGCTAAATATTTGTCGCCAAAAAAAACTAAGGAGTGTTTTCATGGCTTACAACTTGTATATATAGATATATGAAGGAACACTGTGAATTATCTTAATAGGAATAATATCTATAGAACTAGTATCCCCCTGTTCAAAAAGAGTTATCGCCCGTTAATCAGCGTCATATTACTTGTACTCGGTAGTGACGCGGACCTTAAACCACTCAAACAAACGAGCAAAATNGGGGGGATGCACAGAGCAAATATTTCCGCAAAAACAATCCCCCTACAATTATTTGCTCTTGACTTCTGATATGATGGAGCATTATTTCTATCAACTATATCGGTATTTTCCATATTGGAATAGGTGATTAAGCATGCGCGGAACTTTTGGAATTTCCTAGTTTTAGTGTATACAGTATAATCAATACATACTAATAGCAATTACGGAAACATTCAGATATATTTGCCGCCAGATGCTGATAAAATCCCAGTCGCTGAAACCATCATCTGATAATTCAAGAGTCAAAATTCCGGTGTTAAAGGCATGTCGGTTACACGTTTGTTGTTTTAATAACTTATCGAGACGACGTGGCCTCCAAACACGGCGTCACAATAAATCATATATATATTGTGAAATTCTGCCAACAAACCTAAGGAAAAAAACGACAACGCTTACGTTATTTTCAATTACATGAGGCCTGTTATCGCGTATGACTAGTATGGTCCGGTATTTCGGTTCGTCTGTTAGATTATACTTGGAGGCACAATAACGTACTAAACAGCCCATTATGTTAGTTGCGTGCAGTATACGTGTAAGATAGCCTGCTTCATGTAACGCCACAGTTCCGTAGTTGTCAATATTGATCTTCTGCGCCGCTCAACAAAAAGCAATCGTCTTTCGTTTCAAATGCTTTCAACAATATATCAAAATTTTAAAGGATTTTATTACACAAGAAATATTCAGAATTTTATTTTCCCATTTTATATCATAATTTCTTTCTCATAGTTTGTAACTCGGATATAGAAATTGATTATTTTTTGGAAAGCTTAAAAAAAGTTTGTAAGATAGGGCGGTTCGTGGCGACCTAATATCGTACAAAGTATAATCATATTTTAAATAGACGGCCGCCAACACCTAATTGACAAGTTGATGAATGTGCTTGCAGAATCCCAGATCCAAGATTGGACCGAAATTTTGCAGCCTACGGCTTTCTTTTCAATCTATTTGAGACGCGATTTGTAAATTGTTAGTAATTTCAAGAGTTAAGTTGGAGGAAATAATCTTACTGCATTATGTCAAATGCATAGCAGCGAAAACAAACTCTTGTGACAAAACGTACCTCTTGACGTCACAACTCTCACGACGACACAAAATACTAATGACAACAAAAACCTCGTGACGACATATATCTCATGATGCTATAAAGTACAATCTTTGTAGTTTGTTTAGCTTTATTTTATAAATAGAAAAAGTTTGCAGCCTGCGAAAAACTTTTTATCAGATGCGAACGTGACGAGTGTTACTATCCAGTATCAGTACTGTTGGTCCTACATCACGGTCTTTGTTCTGTTACACGTGATGTCCAGGTCAATGCACAATGCATAGTATCGACCATGTTAATACACACATGTCAAGGTCATGACCTTATAGCTTATGGCAATGTCAATATCTCGACTTTATATCTTATGTCAATGTCAAGGTCATGACTTTGTATCTTTTGTCAATGTCAAAGTCATGACCGTATATCTTATGTCAATGTCAAGGTCTTGACTTTATATCGTATGTCAATGTCAAGGTCATGAGTTTGTATCGTATGTCAATGTCAAGGTCATGAATTTGTATCTTATGTCAATTTCAAGGTCATGAATTTGTATCTTATGTCAATGTCAAGGTCATGAATTTGTATCGTATGTCAATGTCAAGGTCATGAATGTGTATCGTATGTAAATGTCTTGAATGTGTTAATACACGTACATGTATCTATTGTCAATGTCACAACTTGTACCTATAATAAACAATGTCGTCTCATGACTGGAAAATGTATTATAAATTGTCAAGGTCACGACTGTGTTGATAACTTATACCAGGACCATGTCTATTATCTACTTACAAGATCAATTAACAATGTCATGGTCATGACCCAATAAATTTGTGATGTCGAGGTCAATATTCAATGTCAAAGTCACGACTCTATAAATATCTGATATAGATGTCAATATTATGAGTGAGATGAAACCCGTAAGGGCGGATTCATGTAGGCGCGAAACCCGTCATCCATCC